ATATCAAAATCGTAAAAAAAAAAATTTTCCAAAAAGTGGTAGAAACCCGGCGGATTCACCCATATACATATATTTTAATCACGTGCCCTGTGCATGATCGAGAAAATTAATTAACTATAGTCCTTTGGTCTCAAATTCAGATTAAGGGAGGAATGGTTTGATGACCTCTCTTACAATGATTTCTCATTGTTTAATCACCATACATTAGGGGTTCTATAAAGGACACTATAAGGTATATAATGGTATAATATGAGTAACAGATCATTGAATTGAATGTGTAAAAACGTTAAAAGAAAATGTGCAAGAAAAAAAGTGTCACATAATTTTCTCAAATTTTTAAGTTTATATATTTTATATAGATACCAAGTTATTTGTACAAAAAAGTAACACTTATATAAATGCCTCCTAAGTATTCTAATCATTAAGTTCCATAGTCCTATTTACGACGTCTGTACCTGATGAAAACTATTCAATGTTATCATCTATTTCGATATTGATATCATCAGCTTCATCTTCATTTTCTTCTTCTTCGTCAGCTCCTTCGTGATTCTTCACATTCTTAAGATTATTTATAGATCCTTCTAAGAGCGGATCCTCGTCAATAAGCATATCACAATATTTTTGAGCATGCGCAATCACATTTCTGACCATTTCCGTCAATATTCCCTCATATTCACCACCATCACCATAGAAACCTGTCCTTGTGTGTTCAATCAATTGTTGAACAGTTCTGGATGGTGTGAATTGTTTAGCCACATAACCTTTAACATACGACCAGATCCATTCCATTGGTTGAACTTGAGGAGTATATGGTTGAGTTAATATAAAATAATGAAAATCAGGTACGCCGGGTTTTACAGCTAATGATTTATGTTCGAATAATTTCTCTAGTAATATCTTCTGAAGATCCGGATATTCTTTGATCCAACTTTCCATAAACACTTGTAATTCTTCTTTATAAGGACCTGATGGATCATTCAGGTGCCATTCACCAGCTTCAAACATTTTTGCGTGTCCATTTCGAATGACTACTATATTATGTACTTTTTTAGACGTAGGATATCTTGGGCCTAGATTCGAGTATTCCGTAACTGGATTTGCTCACACAGCGGACCAAAGACTAAACTCTGCGGACCAAGATAGAACTCAATGAGCTCTATCGAATGCACTATTTACTTTTGCACCAGTACCATTACAAGTGGGAGAAAAACCTAGAATACTGTAAAAAAATCAGATTTTTTTCGTTTAACGCACCGCGATTCGCTCAGAGGGCGGACCAAAATTTGGAAACAGTACATACAGATAGAACTCGACGAGCTCTATCCAATGGTCACCTTTTAAGGTATTTTAAGTACTTCCATCCTCCACAAAACCCCAATATACTCAGAAAACCTGGTTTTTCCAGGAAACCTGCCCCGACTTTGCTCAGACATCGGACCAAAACATGAAAATGACTTAGATAGCGAGAACTTGACGAGCTCTATCGAATTGACACCTTTCAAGTTATTCTAGGTACTTCCTTCCTCCCCTTAAATCCCAATAGACTGCAAAATCCACTGTTTTTACCAAAACCCGAGCGGGATTCGCCCCCAGCTGGGCCAAAAAGCTGAAATGACATAAATCGATAGAACTCGACGAGCTCTATCGAGTGAATACCTTTTCAGCACGATTCAATGCTTGGATTCCCACCGAAAGGGCAAATCCAGATCTTAATACTACAATCATTCAAATAATGTTGCTTTTTCATTGTGTCTTTCTAACAAGTATACAAAACAAAAACTCAACAAATTTGCTTTTCGTCAAGTAAAAGTGTTAAATATGTTTCAGTACATCGTTGTATATGTTAATTAAGGTTTTTTCTTATTGTGTGCATTGCTTTGAATTTCATCTATT